TACTTCTATTGAATTATATGAAGAAATAGTGTTCTGTGCAGCAAAGTATGTCTTAAAACAGCATCAACAGCCTGAGTTAATGAGTTATCAAGTAAGAGACGTAATGATCCCCGGAACTTCCAGCAGGAAGAGGAATATGTCTTGGGTCGATATTTGTCTAATTCATTTACTCTGTATCTGCAGTATGAAGCAAATTCATACATGCAAAAGTAATGAAATAAGTAAAGACTCGAGAAGAAAGAAGTGTTGGCACCAAGGAGGAAGCGAAGGAACTGGAGACAGCACACCACGAGGGTCGAAGCTCAATTAACAATCTGGGAACCAATAAGCACTCAGGATCAAGCGTGAAGTTGTCTTCACCGTTCCTCTATTGACCTGCTCATGGGTCCCAACCCTTAATACCTGCCTGCCAGTAGTCTCTCACCAACTTTCCCCCATTCTCTCTCTCTCTCTCTCTCTCTCTCTCTCTCTCTCTCTCTCTCTTCCTCCTTCCCTCCTCTCCCTCCCTTCGCTTATTTCCCTCCCTTCCTCCCTCACCCTATCTTCCACCCTCTCTCTCTCTCTCTCTTTCTCCCTCCCCCTCTCTTCCTCTCTCCCTTTCTCCCTCCCCCTCTCTCCCATATCTCCCTCCCCCCTTCTCCCTCAGGGAGTGTTGTCACATTTATCACAAGGAACAGTCAGGTGGAAAAATTTACAACCCACGTAGCTTCTTTCAAATGTTGGGTACAGTTCCCACATAATATTTCTTACCCATCAGAGGATCTGTGCGTCATGACTACACTGTTAGTGTGGACACCATCTTATTACCTATGGTAATAGGTATTACCTATAGTAATAGGTATTACCTATGTTAATAGGTAGTACGTTGAATTACGCAATGCAATCGCATGAAACATTAACAAAAAAATTTCCTATCAATGGGATGTTTTAATTATTAAGTGTAACAATGATTTAAAATTTAAAATTCATAGAAAAGCGAAAAATAACCGTTCCTATGTTCACTATTATTCTTCACATCAAGATAAAGTTAAACTGTCCGTATTCTCATCAGTGTTTTTGAGAACTTTGCGTATTTGTAGTCCAGAGATCATAGATGAAGAAATCTGAATAAAAATTAATGAAATAGCTAATGATCTAACATACCCAAGAAAATTAATTAATAAAACCTTTAAAACTGCCAGAAATACTTTTTACAATTCAAAAAGGGACAACCAGCCTTACTCAACTAAAAATACGTTGGTTCTCCCTTACCATGAAAACTTGGTTGATATGCCTTCTCTTCTTAAGACTTTTGATATCAAAGTTGTGTTTAAAAATCTTGATACAGTAAAAAAAACTTTTAATAAAAAAATTCTCCCAAAAATGCTGACGGATGTGTCTATAAGATTCCTTGTAAAATATGTGATAAAGTTTATTACGGTCAAACTGGTAAAAGTCTTGAACTTAGATTAAAACAACATAAATATAGCATTAGAAATGGACAATATTGTAATGTTCTGTTTATTCATGTTAAGATTTTAACCATCCAATTGATTTTCAAAAAGTTGAGAAAGTAGTATACAAGCAAGTCCATGGTTGACAGGAATGAAATTTAATCTTGTTTCTTAAAAAGAAGCTTTGAAAATAATATGATATTGATTTTGGTTTATATAAATTGGATTAATTTATAATTAATAAAATTTGGGAAGAATTTAAGATGCGTTAGACAAGTAAAAAACCTTAATGCTTGGGTAGAGTATCAGTTGTGTTTCACAGAGTCGGGTGTTGTGACTGACTGTGAGATGTAGTCTAGCCCTTATATGCCTTCCTGTTTATGATTTATTTTTATAGTTGCTTGATACTGTGAGAAGTCACGAAAGCGCTTGCAATTTGGCTACTTTTTTGCGCTGATTGTTCTGCATATTGTAATATCACATTTTTCCTGTGATTGTATTGCATACATACGTATATATATATATATATATATATATATATAATATATATATATATATATATATATATATATATATATATATATATATATATATATATATATATATATATATATATATATATATATATATATATATGTTGTGCCGAATATGTAAAACTGGTCAATTAGCAAGTACACATTTAAAATAAAGTCTTTTCTAAATTTTTCTCTTATACGATTAAAGATATATTTTTTTCATTAATATTGATGTAAAAATTTAAAATTTTGCACCAAAAGGAACTTAGAAAACTTACCTAACCTTATTATAACAAGAACAATTTATTTTAGCCTAACCCAACTTAATATATTTTAGATTTGTTTACAATAATTTAATACTTAACAAACACAGTGAAAAAATTTTTTTAAGTTAGGTTCAGAATGATTTTGGAGAAATTATTGCATAGGCAAATTTTCGCTTGTCCTATATGGCAAGATGAGCATTGCTATTTAAGCCAAGATCGCAAGTTCTGCCTATTCGGCACGACATATATATATATATATATATATATATATATATATACATATATATATATATATATATATATATATATATATATATATATATATATATATATATATATATTGTGGAGTGCGTGTTACAGAGCTTGCCATAATGTATGGCAAATCCCATTCAACCATCACTTCGATCGTGGTGAAAGAAAAGGAAATAAAGTGTGCTGTTGTTGCAAAAGGGGTGGATATGCTGACAAAAAGGGGATCACAAATCCTTGAAGAAGTGGAGAGGTTATTGTTTGTGTTGATTACCGAAAAACAGTTAGCAGGAGATAGTGTTACGCAGTCGATAATATGTGAAAAGGCAAGGCAGTTGCATGACGATCTCGTAAAGAAAATACCTGCAACAAGTGGTGATGCTTGTGATTTTAAGGCCAGCAAAGGTTGGTTTGAGAGATTTAAGAAGCGTAGTGGCATTCACAGTGTGATAAGGCATGGTGAGGGTGCCAATTCTGACAAAATTGCAGCTGAGAAGTTTGTACAGGAGTTTAAGGAGTGCTAGACACTGGAGAATTTCCCAAACCCCAGCAAGTGTTTAATTGTGACGAAACAGGCCTCTTTTGGAAGAAAATCCCAAAAAGGGAAAACCTACATCATGCAGGGGGAAGCGGCGCTCCCAGGACAAAAAGCCTATGAAGGATGGGCTTTACTCTCATGTTTTGTAGTAAGGGCTATGGGGATTTTAAAGTGAAGTCTTTACTGGTGTATCACTCTGAAAATCCCAGAGTGTTCAAGAAATACAGTGTCGCCTAGATTTAAATTTGGGTTTTGTGATGTGGAAGGCTAACAGTAAGGCATGGATCACAAGGGATATTTTCCTAGACTGGTTTAATGAAGCGTTTGGCCCCAGTGTGAAGAAATACCTCCTGGAAAATAAACTGTCATTCAAGTGCCTCCTGGAATGGACAATGCTCCTGCCCCATCCCCAGACTTGGAAAGCAAATAGTGGAGGAGTTTAGTTTCATCACAGTGAAGTTCTTGCCCCCTAATACAACTCCTCTCCTCCAGACCATGGACCAGCAGGTCATTTCAAACTTCAAAAAACTGTACACCAAAGCAGTGTTTCAAAAGTGCTTTGAAGTGACCTCAGACACTGAATTGACCCTAAGAGAGTTCTGGAAAGATCACTTTAATATCCTCCATTTCATAAACCTTATAGGTAAGTCTTGGGAGGGAGTGACTTCCAGGACTTTGAAACTCTGCTTGGAGAAAATTGTGGCCAGATTGTATAGAAGAGAGGGATTTTGAAGGGTTTGTGGCTGACCCTAAGGAGCCTATGCCAGTTGTGGAAACTATTGTCTCATTGGGGATGTCCCCTGGGTTGGAGGTGAGTGGGGAGGATGTGGAAGAGTTGGTGGAGGACCACAGGGAAGAGCTAACCACTGAAGAGCTGCAAGAGCTTCATCTGCAACAACAACAGATCACAGCTCAGGAAATTGCTGCAGAGGAGGAGGAGGAAGAGAAATGGAGGAAGGTGCCTTCTTCAGAGATTAAGGACATTTGTGCAAAGTGGTCTGAAGTTCAAACATTTATGGATGAACTTCACCCTAACAAAGCTGTTGCAGGCTGTATTGGCAACATGTACAATGACAGTGTTGTGTCCCACTTCAGACAAATTTTAAAGAAACCCCAGAAACAGACCTCTCTGGACAGATATTTTGTGAGACAGGGGTCCAGTGACTCTCAAGTTGTTCCCAGTGGCATTAAAAGAAGAAGGGAAGTAAGCCCAGATATGGACTTCACACCTGAAGTCCTAATGGAAGGAGATTCTCCTTCCAAAAAACAGTGTACACCTTCCTCCTATCCCTCCTCCCGTCTTCTATCCACGCAGAAGCCTTCAGTAAAGGTAAGTGTAATGTTATTATTATTTTTTTAATGAATGTACTTGATTTCTGATTGTTTTCATTATGTAAATCTTTATTTAATTTGAAAAAAATATTTTATTTTAATATTTTTGGGTGTCTGGAATGGATTAATTTTATTTTCATTATTTCTTATGGGGAAAAGGGTTTCGAGTTTCGTGAATTTCGACTTTTGGAAAGCTCTCTGGAACAGATTAATCACGAAACTTAGGGTTCCACTGTATATACATATGTCGTGCCGAATAGGCAGAACTTGCGATCTTGGCTTAAATAGCAACGCTCATCTTGCCATATAGGACAAGCAAAAATTTGTGTATGCAATAATTTCGCCAAAATCATTCTGAACCTAACGAGAAAAATATATTTTCACTGTGTTTAGTATTAAATTACAGTCAACAAATCTAAAATATATTTAGCTGGGTTAGGCTAAAATAAATTGTTCTTGTTATAATAAGGTTAGGTAAGTTTTCTAAGATTCTTTTGGAGCAAAATTACAAATTTTTACATTAACATTAATGAAAAAATGTATCTTTAAACGTATAAGAGAAAATTTTAGAAAGGATTTAATTTTAAATGAGTAATTGACCAGTTTTACAAATTCGGCACTGTATAATATATTATATATATATATATATATATATATATATATATATATTATATATATATATATATATATATTATATATATATATAATATATATATATATATATATATATATATATATATATACATACTATATATATA